CTTATTTTTAATTTTTGGCCATTTTAGCAGGTTGATAATGAATTTAAAATGTAATTATAAATGTTAGAATTCCACGTTTTAGAGCCATTTAACAATAACTAGAAGCTTAATGCACTGCCTGAATAAAAGAAACTGGTGCAAAAATCATTGAAAGAAAAATTGACAGCTTCAGGGTTCCCTTGTCTTTGAAAGATTGCATAAAGACATATACTTTAATGCAATTAGAGATGAAAAAATACAACTACAGCATTTTTTCATAAAAATAGGCGATGGACAAAAGGCCAATTTTTCCCATTTTGAGCCACAGTCCTTGGATCTTTTAAAGCGCATTAGTCCCGCTAATTAAATGTTATATGTTTGAGGAAAAATGCCAGCATAAAAGCAGCTGAATTGTTTGAGTCAAAGACACGGCTGCAGCCTTGATGAGTGGAACTGTGTGCGACCATGAGAGAACGCCATTGTTACCAGTCTTCTCTTCGTTTGACCCATCATCATTCTTTTGGATAATTCCACAGTCACGTTCGCTTTTATGATTCATCTCGCAGCAATAAAGACAGTAGATGCAGCTGTGAAGAGGAAAAGACACTGACATTTCTGTTGCGCTCATTTTGCAAAGATTGGCCTGTTTTTGTTTCCAAATGCAAACTGATTTTTTATTATTCCAAACAGGAATCCACGCATGGCTTCATGGTCAACTAAGCAACCAAGCCTTCAATAACTAAGGGTGTAGCAAGTAGAAAGAATTGAACCTTTACCTTTTCTTGATATAATTTAACATATTCTTTTATGCTTGTTTAAATCTATTAAGACTGTTCTGTATCAAACTTGTCCTAAACGCCGACAAAACCAAAGGGATTTTGTTTTCAAACAGGAAGATGGCCCCAGCAGTTATTTCTATGTTCTCATCGAATGGTGCTCCTATTGAGTTTCCTGATTCCTACAAATATTTGGGTATCTTGGTCGATGCACATCTCTCTTAAGCCTCATGTCGAAAACTTGGTAAAAAAAATGGACAGAGAAACTGGGTTTCTATTTCAGAAATAGATCCTGTCGAACTCTGAATGCTAGGAAACACCACGTAACTGTGACTTTCCTTCCCTCCATTGATTACGGTGATATTTACATGAATGCTGCTGCCTTCATACATCTCCTCCTACATGTCTCTGCGTGAGTGCAGCTTCAGCGTGCGCTCTCAGGACATTATTACATGCAGCGTCTCCTCAGTGCAGACTGAACTGGGCAAAAGGGCCTTCTCCTACTCCGCTCCCGTTTCCTGGAATATCTTGCAAAAAGATCTGAAGCTCTCGACCTCTCTAAGTGGCTTCAAACATCTGTTGAGTTTCAGGCAAAAATCAATGCAGACACGTTCCTGTTTTAGTTTTCTACACCGCCTCGTAATCTAGATGTTTTTTTTTTTAATATATATATATATAATTTTCTTTTATTTTTTTTATTTATATGCGTTCTTTTATGATTGTCTATGGTTGTCATCACTCTTTGTTAAAATTCAGGTCTCTTTTGTAAATGAGTCCCCGAGGGTCAATGAACTAACCTGTAAAAATAAAGGTCGAATGAATGAACTTGAACTGTGTCTTTAACATTTTGTTACATATATGAAATGTATTATTATTTATTTTTTTAAAGCAAAACAAACAAACATCCATCTGTTCATTTTATTTACCCACCTTTCCTTTCTGGGTCACAGAACGCTGGTACCTCTAGCAGTTTCTGTGCAAGAGACGGAGACACCTGGACAAGTTGCAGTACGTCACATGTCCAGAAAAAGACAACGAGACAAACGACAACTCTCTCACTCACCTAGGGACAATTTAGAGTTGCCATGTAGCCTAACATGCATGTTTTTGGTCTGTGGGAGGAAACTGGAGCACCCAGAGAAAACCCACGTGTGCACAGAAAGATCATTCAAATTCCACACAGACAGGCCCGGCTGTGAGGCGGCAGCTCTAACCACGTCACTATCATGCCTCTTAACAAACGAACATAAAACTAAATAAAACTTACTCAACTATAACTCAACTTTAAAAAAAAATGGTGATAACATTTAGAACTTTAAGCAAAGTTGTTGGTTTCATGCTTGGCTTTTTGGTTGATGTTCATGTTGATGTGTTTAAACATTAATAATAATTGTGTTTAGACTAGACCTTTACCTGTGAGAGCGTCTCCTCCATTTATGTAATGAGAACATGCATCTGTTTTCAAGCGTTCATTAGCTGTACTAACCACATGATAAACGACTGGAGCACCTTTGATCATCATGAACTTATTTCAAACAAATATAAAGAACACCTTAATTTAAAAAAATCCTTTGAGCCACAGATCACACACACACACACAAACTGAACACGAGGAACGCAAAAGCTATTAATTATTTTGCTAATTTCTGTCTCTGTAACTTCCAGCTATATACATCTGGGAGTTGGTTCATAGGTTAAGTCACACAACTTTGGTACAGGAATATCAGGGGTTTAGGGTTTGATTCCTGGTGCCAAACTCTGAGCAACCTCGGTTACACTATTGTCCAGAGACATACCGGTAATAATGTGGCCATGACGTCATCCGGATCTACAAGGTCCTCATTAGATGTTGGGGAACCAGGATATTCTGATGAGAAATGGGCTACTGGAACAAGTCATGCATAGACAAGGACAGAGAACTTAACAGACACTTAATACTAAACTACAATACAAGCAAGCATGAAGAGAGGGGATATAAGGGAAGGATGTGGGAACTACGGATATTATGATTCCCATCATCCAGGTTACCCCGAAAAAACCCGTTGGACCCAGTATTCTGACATTCGAGAGAGAAATCTCCTATCCCACCTAGAGACTGATGAAATACAATAAAGATGCTACAGCAAGGGGGAGTCAGGACGATAGGTCGGGCAGGATACACCATTATTCACACCATCAGTGTATGAACACCAAGCCCCATTGATAACAGGCGGAGCACAGTTGAATACAAGGAAATATGGGGAGAGTGAAAGCATAAGTAGTTGCAGTAGTCACTGGACCAGTTGGTGCTGTGACCCTCAGACTGGAAGAGAGTCTTCAACAGATCCCAGGAACAACCTCAGAGATCTCTGTCCAGAAGAGTGCAGTCCTGGGAACATCTAAGATACTGCGCAGAAACCTCAAGCTCCCAGGAATATTGGAAAGGATCTGAGTCGGAAGTGAAGTGGAAAGTGCAATTACGTTACAATTTATATTTTTGTACATCATGAAACTTTTGCCTGCTGCAAGGTAAACAAAAAAGTTTATATATTTTATAACGTCTGAACTGCATGTTTTAAGGCACACTCCACAATAGTAAGTTTCTTTCGGCTGCTCCCTTCAGCAGGGGGAGCTGCAGGGAGCAAACTCACATGCAAGATTTGGAAATTTGTTTTTACACGGGGTGCCCTTCCTGACGCGGCCTGGGCTTGAACCTGCAAGGCCGCGGCACTGACCACCGAGCTATCGCAACCGACCAGAGCCATCGCAGCTGACTCAAGCCAACCCTGCAGAAGGGAGCGCCCAAAAGACACTTTTCACAACAATCTTCCTAAATAACAGAAATATTAATAATTCATTAGGAGGAGCAATGGAAAAAAAAACTGCATTGGTAATTTCTGACAACTAAAATGGTAAACTATCCAAAATATGTCAGCTATGTTTTTCATTTACTTCTCAGTTTTTCAGTGTAGTTGTGATAATCATTTGTTTCCTTGTATTCCTGCTCGCTTCTGAGCTTGTGAAAATTATTGTGCTTCTTGCTTTAGCATTATGATGAAAGGATGGATGTTTTTCAAGCTGTACAGGAAGTGCTCCTGCAATGATACTGCTGGCAAAAAAACACAAATATCTAGGAAATAACTCCAATGCCAAACTGATAATCTGTAGCAGGGCTATTCAGCTAAATTACGCAGGGGGCACAGTTACTGAAAGCCAGCAGCTCAGGGGTCTGACATCCTGCAAGTAGTCATTACGTAAATAAACAATAACAAGTATTACAATGATCTGTTCCCATTTATGATTCAATGCAGTAAAATAAACAAATTCAATAAACAGAACCCAAAAGTGTAATTCAAAGAAATTACATTTCAAGATTTATTTAATTGCAATAAAAGTAGATATTCTAAAGTGAGACAATATTAAAAACAAAAATAACACACTATGCCTCCTATTTAACACAAATATTATTCTGACATCTCTGACTTGCCAAATCTTTTCGATGAGATTAGATTATTTTTAATTATTTTTCAGCTCCACTCCACTCTAATCTCAGTTAGCTTGTCTATAAAATTATAATAAACCCTTAATCTCTTATGCATGGTTGTCAAAAAAAATCTATAACAGGTAAGATAATAACTGTTCATAATGTTTCTATGGAAACCCATTTCAGAGCACCTGAACATTTGACTTAAGTTGAAATTGTGTTTTTAGGTGCATCCAAATAAAATCTCTGATCTATAAAATATATTTTTTTAATTTTCAATTCTGAATGTTTGCTTTTTGTGAAATTTTTACCACAAAAACAAAAAGTGATAAAAAGTTTTTCTAAAGTAAACTAATGCTTCATATACATAAAATTTAGAAAATGCATATGAAATTAAATTTGAATTTACACATGCGTATATATTTCTTATTAAAATAACACACATGTCTGTGCAGTAAATAAGTTGCAAAATAAAACCTTGTTTTTCATCAGAGCTGTGGTACTCGCTCAAATCCACAAATAACCTTCTTGTGGTTTTTATGATCAGGCTCAGCTTTTGTGGTTTTATGCAACGTGGCTGTGAGGACAATTAATTCATTTTTGGCTGGAACTTTGTCACATATTGCCAAAAAAGGCTAACTGGCGTAGTGACGGTGGTAAAACTGGTATTTTAGATGTGACAAAACACAAACTCTTTTTTACAGAATATAACAACAAACAAGGGCAAGTAATTTTATAAGCCATTTGAAGTATAGATGAACAAAAAGTATGGGTCACATTAATCAGGGCTTTTCTTCACAGGTGGAGCCGGTTAACTTGCTCATTGCTAATCCAAAGTACTCCTCTTTCTTCTCAAAGTAGTAGTTGAGTCGTGCTTTGGCATATCTGGGAAGGAATAGAAAACAGAATCAAAGAACAAATCACATTCTACACCATGATGTAAACATTTTTTTTTCTATAAACATACTTGGAAAAATTACTTGGCGTATTTTGAAAAACTCACATTTTCTGTGTTTCACTTGATCACATGAAGTTTTGGTGAGAAAAAACTTAGAGGGGGTTATAAAACAATTCTGATAAATTTATGCAGACAGCAAATACTAAGCTTTTCAGAAACAATGACAGAGCAGTTATTTTTAAGCATGCCAATTATCACTTTGTTTCCTAGAATCCATAACAACAATGAAACAGTTTTTACTGTTTTGTTCTCTCTGTCTCTTTTCATCCTGATCCTGTAGCCTTGAAAGTTTAATCACATGCTAAAATTAACTCGGAGGAAATTATTAGTAAAGGAGAAAACTACTATTTTTAATCAAACAAAGCATGCTCTTTCTCTGTACGTATATATATGTGGTTAATTTGGACTTTCTTGCCACCAAGTAATGTAGCAGTAGTGTTTCTGCATTTTTGTACAAAGATGTGGACAAGAAATGTGTAAACGTAGAAAAAGTAGTAAATATACACATGGCATTAATTTTCTTTCAGTATTTAAGTTTTGTTCTTTAAACACTGTCCACTAGAAAAACATACATTTTTATGTCTTGATATTTTGCTTTCAAACCTCTGATACTATGTTATCACAGAATAGAAAATGATACGGCATATTTAGTAGAGCACTGCCTCTCTGTGAGAAGGTTGTGGGATCGAATCCCAGTTGGGGACATTTCTGGGTGGAATTTGCATGTTCTCTCTGTGTATGTGTGAGTTTTCTCCAGGTCCTCCCACAGATCAAAAACATGCATGTTAGGCTGATTGGTAACTGGTTGTTTGTCTCTGTGTCCCTGTGACGGACTGGTGTCCCTCACCTCTTTCATAGTAACTGCTAGATATAGGCACCAGTGACGCTGCGACCCAGAAAATAAGAAGTGGGTAAAGATACTGTATGGAAATTGGAACCATGGGTGTTTATCGTTATACACAGACAAAGATACAGAACATTAATTAGGCAAGAAAAAAAAAACCTAATTAAAATGGAATGGCAGCCTTTATTTCAAAACTACTTATGTTGTTAAAAGTCACAATTTTATGGAATAGCTATAGTGTTTGGTGTCATCTATTTAGTATTTTTCACACTTGATGAGCCACGTTAAAGGTTAAATGGTAAATGGTCTGTACTTGTATAGCGCTTTTCTACTTATCAAGATACTCAAAGTGCTTTACAACACAATCTGTGCATACCAAAGAAACCATCTTAGCACCAACAAAACTGGTTTGTTCCACTTTGGAGTAAGCTGTTGGGGTAAGAATCAGTTTTGTGTTGTGTGTTTCCTTGATTGATGAAGCCTTCCAGATCGAAGGCGAAATGTTTCAGCACAAAAAAAGAAACTGTCCAGATGACCTGACTGAAAAATGTTGGATTGTATACCTGGATAATTGAGCATGGACTTTGTTGATCATCACTGGACTTTGTTGATCATCACTGGACTTTGTCACTTGTGTTCAACACTACTCAAGTAAATTATGTTTCTCATGAAGCTTGAGGACAATAAGGTGTGGGGTTTTAAAAATATTTCAACTTTAATGCACCTGAACACTCAGCATCTCTTACACCTGCAGCGTCTTACAGCATCACAGTTACTGCAAATTACACATGTACACACAGTAATTATACATGTTTATGATCAAACACCCCCCCCCCC